GACACCAAAAGTGCATATATAGCTAGTTGTAACCTCCTATGTAAGGGAGCCCCTGGAGGCACTCGTGTTTAAATACATGAATAAAAACATCAACTCTCAGAGACAGGGACTTTAACTCAAAAAAAAAAAAAAAAAAAAAACAAGTTTAGTAATTTATATACAAAAATTAATACTTGTCTTAAGAGCAAAAATTTTTTTAGTTTCGAAAATATATAAAACTTTAAAAAATCTAAAAAATATTTTAATAGTAAACCCTAATGTTATACAATTTTTAAACTTTAATTAATTAAAAGTTTTTTATCAAAGTTTATAAAGTAGGTTTTTAAAAATATTTTTTAGTTAGAAAGTATATTGCTAAAATTAATTGTTAAGTTTTTATTATAAAAATTAATTTTAAAAAAATTAATGTAAACAAATTTGCTTGTATTACAATTTAAGAGATAGGATATTTTGGATACTATACAAATAAAATTTTCTAATATATTTTATATATATTGTATATAGCATATCAAAAAAATATTAATATAAAGTTTAAAACAAAACTCTAAAATAAAATCTAAACTGCAACTAAAGTATTGCATAAAGATAATTTTAACAAAATAATAGAAAAAATTTCTAATTTATATAAGAAAACATCTATTTATCTTAGTAAAATATCATTTACAATATAAACCTTTAGCAAATATCTTTGAAATAGATTCAAACATCTTACTTCCAATATATCTAAGTTTTTAAATTTTTGGTTATATAATAAGTGTCTTGTAAAACTATTCAAAGCAATTATTTTATTTATATATAGAGTTAATACACTTTATTATAATTATCATATAATATATTCTTCAATTCAAACATTGTTACTATCTATAACTACTTATTAACTTTAATTTATTATTAGTAGATATTATAGCAAAATAGTGTATTGAGAGGTGTGATAATCTAGTGAAGTAATCAGATTGTTAATCTTCCAAGTGATAGGTTGGGGGTTCAAATCCTATCAACAATAAAAATTTAAATAATCACCTATATAATATTTGTATTATGGCAACTGTTACTAATGATTGGGTTAGGATATCTGTAATGGTGGTTGCATCAGCATAACTGGCAGGTCATGGAATATTCATATAACAGCCATGTGACATTGTCATTTGAAACAAGGTTTATAATTATACAAAGAAATGCAAATTGGCAATTTGACAGTGCAAACACTAAATAAGTTCTTGTGGTTATGTAAATCTGTTAAAATTAGATAACAAGAAGTCTATTTGAAAAGATCTAAATAAAGAGATAACTGGATCTTTAATGGTCTTACTGTAAAAGCTAGCCTAGAGAAACAGATACCAAGATTATAGTACTTAGTCATAATAATTGGATAGACAAGAACCTTCAGGTTAGAAGTCTTAGAGGTTTTACCAATCAGACCATTAGAATGAATCAGAAAAAAAGAATATTAGGCTAACCTAATATACCAATAGACTAGTTATAGTTCTATATAGGTTATTTGAATTGGAAGTTTGGTAAAAAGGCAGATAAAAAGGCAGGGATATACTAAAGTACTAGGATTATGCTGTGAAGTAGATGCTAAGATCTAAGTAAACTCTACAAAGGCATAACAGTTTAATAGTTAAGCTCTGATTGCAAGTGCTGATTCTGTCATAGCAATATCTAAATCAGTTGTAAAAATGAGTACAGAAGGCTTTGAGAGGTTTACTTTGAGGATAAAATAGTTCTAAGATTAAAACAATGATCTGAGCATCAAATATAACCTAGTGAAGTTAACAGGTTTGCAGATTTAGAGAGTTTAAAGTAGAATATCCAAGTATGAGTGTTTGGTATGACAATTGATGAAGAACTTTTAGGTAGACTTTTTAAATAGATAATATAGAAAATTTACATATTTAGCCAATTGTATGCTCTTTCTGTAATAGTTTATTAAACCATATTTACTATTATTAAATAAAATTAAAAGACCCAAAAGGTTACCTTAATACCAAAAAAAAACAAAAAAAACAAAATAGTATATTAAGTTAATAAGTTTGTTTTTTTGAGATTAAAAATAATAATAGTAATTTTTATATTATAAATTTTTTCTTATTAACTTATACTTATAAATAATTTTAAAAATATTAGTTTTCAGAATATAGTGATCTAATAAAATAATCAGATTGTCAATTTTTAAGTAATAGGTTAGATGTTCAAATCCTATCAATAGTGAAAATTTGAATAATCATTTATGTAATATTCATATTATAACAACTGTTACTAATAATTAGATTAGGATAACTGTAATGATAATCATATTAGCATAACTGATTGGTTATAAAATATCTATATATTATACAGAAGAATGCAAACTAACAATTAAGCAGTACAAACATAAGATAAGTTCTTGTAACTATATAAATCTGTTGAAATTGAATAACTAAAAGTTCATTTATGAAGACCTGAATAAAAAGATAATTAGATCATTAATAACATTATTACAAAGACTAACTTAAGAAAACAAATATTAAGATTGTAGTATTTAGATAGACAAGAATCTTTAAACTAAAAAAGTTTCAAAGGTACTACTAACTAGGTCACTAGAATAAACTAGAAGAAAAAATATTATGCTAATTTAATATACTGATAAACTGATTATAATCTTATACAGACTATCTAAATTAGAAATCTAAATAAAAAGCAGAAATATACTAAAGTACTAAGATTATGCTGTGAAGTAAATACTGAGATTTGAGTGAACTTTACAAAAACATAATAGTTAAAAACATAACTCTAATCACAAGTATTGGTTCTGCTATAATAATACCTAGATCAACTGTAAAAATAAGTACAGAAGATTCTAAAAGGTTTATCTTAAGGATAAAAATAATCCTAAAATTGAGATAATGATTTAAACATCTGTATATAACTCAGTAATATTAATACAGATTGCAGGTTCAGAAGATTTAAAGTGAAACATCCAAGCAAGGATGTTAGATATAACAATTGGTAGAAAATCTTTGGATTTATTTATTTATGCCAGTAATACAATTCAAAAAAGGAAATTTAATTTTATAAATAAATAAAATGCATAAAACACAAATTTGGGGTTAAAATGTTAACATTAGAGGCTATAGTGATAAACTATTATTTATTATATGTAAAATTTCATTTCCAACATTTTTAATTAGTACACCAAGGCTAATTTAAACACTAGTTTTTGAGTTTTTTTTTCACTTTTTCTTCTTTTATAATGTTTAGAATTTATGTCAGGCTGATCTGGAACAATCAAAATTTGAATTTACTGATTGGCTATTTTCTTTTTAGGAGTTTGTATTACTGGCACAAATAAGTAAAGTCAGGAATCTTTAGGCAGATTCCTTAAATAGGTAATATAGAAAAATTATATGTGTAACCAATTGTATGCTCTCTTGTAATGGTTCATAGAATTATATTACTAAAAAAATCATAAAAGACCAAAAAGGTCATCTTAATACCAAAAAAAAAAATAGTAGTTTTCTTATATGCATGCATGTGCAACTATTCTTAAGGCATGTGAACAACCTTTACATTTTGTTCATATTATATATCTTACTACAACTCTTTAAAATATTTATAAAAAATCTGTTCAGTTCATTGATGTGAAAAAATGTTTTCTTGATAACAAAAAATTACCACCAACTATGATCAAACAAGCAAGATGACCATGAAAAACTCATTTATGTAATTATGAAGAAACAGTACCAGAAGACCAACTTACCTGTAGTAAATGTGATGAAAAAAAACATAATATATGTACTTGTAATTGAAGACATTGAATAAATAAAAATTAGTGTCTTTAGTTTAATTTTTAAATGTAATTTTTAAATCTTTTAATAAATATTATCGTAAAATGATTATAACTAATGCTTTATTCAATAAATTTGTAACATTAAATGCCTATAATGAATACATTCAGCAATTTTATAATTTTAGTTCGCTTGTGGTCATAATGCTCCTGTAACATGGTAATTCCGTAATCACGTTTTTTTCAACTATTGATAGATTTGGGCCCTTATATGTAATATTTTTTAAATATCTGGCCCTTATATGTAATTATTTTCGAGTTGGGCCCTTATCTGTAATTATTTTAACTTTTCGGGCCCTTATGTGTAAATTCCCCAAATAAAAATATGGTGTTTTCAATTAAGAAATTGGATTTATGGATCCACTTTATCATTTTCGAATAATATTGTTAACCCCAGCTTTGCTGCCGCAATAAATTTGAATATTTAAAGAACATAAATAAAATATTCGTACGTATAATAAAATGATTTCATCCTGCATCTGGTTTTCTCGTTTCTTTCTTTTTTTGTCTTTTCTGCTAATTAATACTTCATAATTTTACGTCACATCAGATCGAGTAATTTGATTGGTAGATGTATCACTTCTTACGCAATTGAATGCGTAATCACTTTTATAAGCAAAAATAATGTAGTGACAGATCGAAAGCAATTACTGTTATTCTATAATGGATAGAGATAGATTTCAAAGATTTCTTGGCGCAGCAGCGGCAGGCCAAGCTCCTGTAATGGACACTCCAACTGTTGATAATGCAGAAATGGTTTATATTTCTTCGTTGGCATTACTGAAGGCAAGTTTAAAGTTATAGAAAAAGTCCATATCGGCATATAATTAGTATAATACTGTGTTTATAGATTAACATTGTTTAATAAATATAATTTGTATCAATCACGCACCTTGTTCCGATATTTGATATAGATGTTAAAGCATGGTAAGAAATTTATCACACGTATTACTTTCTATAATTGTTATTAAGCAGTGTATTTAATCAAAACTTAGGCCGTGCTGGAGTGCCAATGGAAGTTATGGGCCTAATGCTTGGAGAGTTCGTGGATGATTATACTGTACGAGTAATAGACGTGTTCGCAATGCCTCAAAGTGGTACTGGAGTTTCTGTGGAAGCAGTAGATCCAGTTTTTCAAACAAAGATGTTGGATATGTTAAAGCAAACGGGACGGTACAAATATTATGATACTATTTTTATAAAACATCCTTGCACATGATGATAAACTACATGCTGATTTATTTTTTAGGCCAGAAATGGTTGTTGGTTGGTATCACTCCCATCCTGGATTTGGATGCTGGCTCTCTAGTGTTGACATTAATACCCAGCAGGTATGTGGGAAATAATGCCTGGCTGGTAATTAATTATTTATCCTAATTATTGTGTTTAACGTTTAGAGTTTTGAACAATTGAATCAACGAGCTGTGGCGGTTGTGGTTGATCCGATCCAATCTGTTAAAGGAAAAGTTGTTATTGATGCTTTTCGTCTCATTAATCCTCAAATGCTTATGCTTGGCCAAGAACCGCGTCAAACTACATCAAATATTGGGCATCTTAACAAACCGAGCATTCAAGTAGGCTACCAATATATTTGTTGCCAAAATGTGAGATGCTGAATTACAAATAATAATAAGTTATAAATTATAATACGTCATGATTTAGCATAACACGTTTTGGACAATAAGTATTTTCCCAATTATTTTTTAATATGATTAATCGAGTCACCATATGTAATTGTTGATATCATGCAATTTCTAGGCGTTAATTCATGGTCTGAACCGTCATTATTATTCCATTGCTATCAATTATCGAAAAAACGAATTAGAACAAAAGATGTTGCTTAATTTGCATAAGAAAAACTGGACTCATGGATTGACACTAACAAATTTCACAGAACATACAGAAATGAATGAAAAGAGTGTCAAGGTAACTTATACTATCTCATTTGAATTTTTTTGTTCAATATTTTTGTTTACGAACTTTTCTTACAATTATAGTCGATGCTTACACTGGCCGAAGCATATAACAAGTCAGTACAGGAAGAATCAACAATGACAGCTGATCAACTAAAAACTCGTCATGTAGGAAAGCAGGATCCTAAACGACATTTAGAAGAAAGTGTAGAGGAAGTTATGTCTAACAACATTGTAATGGCACTTGGAACAATGATAGATTCAGTCAGTTTTTAATGATAATAATGAACTCTGCTTAAAAATAAACTATATTTATTTACACTGAACATATGATTTATATAATAAATTTTCTATGTCACATTCGAACGTAATTGGATCTGTACATTTATATTTTTAATGATTGTACCCAGGGTACCGAAAATTGAATTGCAATTAAATTATTGCACAATTATGATTAGTTAACATTGTTACAAACAAACAATTGCAAAACAATTAATTGCAATTTTTATAAATAAAAAGCATCGAAAAAAAACTGTAGCAAAAGTATAGTAATTAAAATTTTCATTAAAATAATGTAATTATGTACATGTAAAAACTATTGTTTAATTTGGTAAATGTTTTGAATTGATCACATTTTACTATTTACTCTTGGTAATAGAAGATTGTTTAAGGTATATAGGTCAAGAGATTTCTCTAATTTGTATAATAATATTTTGCAAATGAAAATAAATATTTTGTATTAGATGTAAGCAGAATGGTTTTCATATCCATGTATTTTGATTCTTTTGATTTGTGCTTTTTCATAACTCATTCCTCATAGTCAAGAAACTTTCTTCTATAATTAGTTGCTTAATAATAAATGTTTTAGGTTTTTTTTCTTTATTTAATATTAATATGGTTTTATGTTTGTGTAGAACTTTGATTACAGTCTCTTCAAAAATTAGATTGTAGATAATTAGTATATTCTTTTCTAATTAGGTTTTTAATTTTGAACATTTCTTAATTAACAAATTGAAATAAGCACTAATATTATTCAGATTTATAGAATTAGTTTATAAGTTATTAGTTGCTTTTAAAAAATATTTAAGTTATCTAATTAAGTAATTAATTTTATTAAGATCTAATTGCTCAATTAATGAATATCATCTGGAAAAAAACTCTTTTCGACGATCATTCGAACCAAACTTTTCAAAAAGCTGAACTACAGAAAAATGATATAGTTAATATATTAA